TAATCCTCCTTGATTTGAGGAAGGAGACAACTAGAATAGCACTTGAAGGGGGATCGAGATGACATGGTGTTTCATTCAAAGGGAGAATTTTAGTAAAATGTAACCATTATAAGTAGATTTGACTACTTTCAATAGGTTAACCGTTTTTGGATGAAACCTCAATTGTACTAGGTGAATATCATATTATTTAGTTCATACAACCCACGGAAGTATAAATAATTGCAAGAATAATTAGCTGCTTCTTGTACTGAATTCTGTAAACCTTGAACTATTTGTAATCTCAGACATTGATCTCTTCTCACCTGGATCCAATGATCTTGTCGTCGTCTTTTTGTTTAAATCTATATTATCAGTACAAGGAGAGCTTGAAGTGGTAGTTGTAATAACCTTAGAATGGTACAATCTCTTTCTTTCCATATCTTCCTTAATTTTCAAAACTTATCCCTTAGCTGAAAGTTCATTGGTGAATCTTCCACTGTTCGACTCGAATGACTTGAATCATTTGCTTGACATAACATTGAGCATCTCGGAATTCAGAAACATTAGGTCTAAAGTGTTGACATCACTCCACCTACTTTTACAAATTACATCAGAAATAATGATCTTATGCTTAAATTTGTGCAAGGTTTCCCTGTCACTATTGCTCTCTTTTGGAAGCAAAACCTCGACTTCCTTCCCCCCTTGCGACAGTTTGGAATATATTTACCATATTGAATCTCGATGACCTATTTTGATCTTGCTTTCTATGAACAAAAAGCTCGAGATTTGGTTCTTCTATTAGATTGCACAAATTCCTGGGATACCTAAAGCTGTTTGTATACGTCGAACTACTCAAGTCTCCCACATCAAACTTGTGCCTGCAAAGGAGATAGCTTGAGTGATTTTCGAGCCACTTATCAATGCAGTTAGTATGGAATGCATGGTTGCACTTTGGCAACAATTGAAGGACTTTAGTCTCCTCAAATCTTTATAAGCACACTGCACATTCTAGGCCTTCTTTCGAGCCCTTGAGGGAGGAAAACCTGAAAAATGGAAGCGACTCAATTACTAATGGATCAATACCAGAAATTGAGATCCTGATGCAAGAAGCACACGAGGACCTTGTTCATCATTCGACTAATAATAAGACACTGGTTTGCGACAAAACTTCGCATAAGGCACAATGAAAAACATTAAGCAGAACATAATTTACAGAATAATAAGAACCTCTGCCATTCTTAGATGAAGTGGATTCACATCATGCTCATTGGATGAATCTTGAGCACATATAAACAAGAAGATTATAGCAATAAACTCAAAATTTTCCATTGAGTAATCGAGCGATATCACTTATTTTTCTTCAAATTTTCGAAAACTTCGCTGAAAACACCGTTCTTAAGGATTTAGTTAAGCAAGTTTCTTAAACTATTAAATAAATTATGGTCCAGTATACTTGATTATTTGTTTCTCTCTTTGGATTTTTCTATCCATCCCAATTGATCAACATAATTTTTTCGAAGTAGCATCTTCAAGTGTGTACTAATTCAAAACCTGACTGAGACATGATGCAAAATAGTAGCTTTCAATTGAGAGAGAAAAACTTGTAAACTATTAACCCTTTGAAATCTTGTTTCTAGAGGTTTTGGTTAGTTTTATCTTGATTATTCAATGCCTATATAGTATATATAATATTGGATGAAAGAAAATGAGGCCAACTGCAGCTTGAGTTCCCAGATCAAGATGATTGTGTCAACTCGGAAGGAATAACATTTGTTGTTGGGTTAGGAAAGCCCATGATTGGGATCTTTTATTGCAGCCCAAAGCCCATTAGGGTTTCAAAGATGAGTTTAAATACAAGAATATAAGATAAAAATAGCCCTAGCCAATTTTCCAAAAAGAGAGGAGAAAAAAGACTTTTTTTGCGTCCAAATTTCATCAAAGCTCTGATCCCGAGTCATCCGTGGTCAGATCAAGCTAAAATTTGGAGGAGTGATTCACAAGACAGGGGCTACAATCTATATAGTAGAGATCGAATTTTAAGCTTGGGAACATTGGTTCATGTGTATGAATAGTAACCATGGGTGTGTGGGTATATTTTTCTATTTCGTATTGTATATTCAAAATCTTTGTTATCTTGATGAAATATACGTTGTAGCATCTAGTAGTGGCTAGAGAAAAATTTGCGTGTTCATTAGTTGGTAGATAGCGGAGATTTTGACTAAACTAGGTTCTATGATTTTTATTCCTCACACCGGGGAAGTTTTTCACGTAAAATATTGCTTATGTTCTTGTAATTTGGTGTGATTGACTTCTTTAGAATATATTCGACATATATGGGAGAAGAATTATTCCGTTGTATGTCTATTTATTTGCATATCTCTCAACATAACATTTTCTACTTAAATTGCGGAAAGTGGTAGAGTTAGTGGTGTCAAACTAGGTCGGGGAATGTCCAGCTTGGAAGAAGACGTCACTGGCCAGACATCAAACCAATGGTGATAAAAGTTGATGAAAGTTTAGAGTGGTAACCTACTTAAATGTAGTTAAATTGTTAATTTTCTTGTAAATTGTTAATTTGAATGAATTTGATATTGTAAATCGTACAATTTATTTCATAAACACGAATGAGAATCCCTATTTATTCATCTATCATATATTTTAAAAAAATTGGATAATCGGCCTACCCATGAAAATAGACCACATAGAAACGTGGCTAACCAGGCTTGGTCTAGCCCACCACAAAACTTGAACCAACTCATGAGCCTTCACAAGCCTTTCTCAAATAGGCCAGGCCCGTTTACCATAAGTTGTCGTAAGTGTAATTAACAATCACAGTTTTCGGCTTCAAAACTCAAGTGGAAATTATATACATCCAAACATTTCAACCTCACAATTCAAAAATAAGATTTACAAGTTTTTTTTTATTCAAAAATCAAATAATAATTTAATTTTTAAATATTAGTAGATATATTATAAAATTAAATTAATACACATATCTACCCATCCAACCCAGCTACCCGCCTAAAACTCTAATCATCTTCCTATTTTCTTTTCTTTCTATCCCTTCTTTCTTCTCTCCCTATCCCTACCAACGGAAAGTGTCGTCGGGATCTCCGCAGCAACAATACTACGACTGCAACGAGCTGTGACTACAAGAATCTGTAACGTCTAATCATCGGGATCATTACTCACAAATGACGGGGATATCTACAGTGGCACGATTTGTTACAGCAGCAAATTAGATCGGGATCATTGGCATCGCCCTCCGTGGTGTTGCAGTTTTATGGTTTTTTGATTAGATATGTTTATTTTGTTGGTTGTGTAGATGGCAGTTGTAACACTCCGAAATTTCATACATTTTGAGGTATTACCAAACATAATTTCAATTACTTAAAATGCAGAATGTTAAAATTCTATTTTCTAAATAAACAAA